TGTCAGCTCCTCCATACTATATTCAACCGTTTCAAAATAGGACAATTGGTAATACTATTTGTTTCTTTTATTTCTTTGTTTATGGGCCGAAATCTTTGGAGTTGTAAATGGAAAGCAATTTATATATTAGAGACAGTCTACGTCCTTTTTAGGAACACAAGAATACGTTTTTTTCATCGAAAATCCCACCTAAGAACGTGATATGGAAAAAACTTGGCCTTCCTTGAAATTCACATCTGCCCAGTGGCTCAATGGCACTCGTGGCAATATGGCGGAGTAGTTAACGTGTCAAGCTCACACGCTGTAAGGTCCTGGTTTGACTCTCGCTGGGGGTGTTGATAAGGTCTATGCGAGGTCGAAACTGCAGTCCACCTTGGATGAGAACAACTTTTGGGAAAGCAAGGCTATGTGAAATTCAATGGTAACGTCATAGTGGGAAAATTCTACTACCAGTTTTTCATCACCTTAAACTAAATAGGGTGAATACATTTCATATAAAATAATATGTTCATTTGATCCCTTTTATGTTGAAAATACTTGTTTTTATTTTCGATAAAGTGTGGCTTAGAAAAAACATGCCTGTATAGGCTCTTAGGTTCAGAAATCAGAATCAGAAGAGCATACGGTAGAAACTAAAAATGAAATTTAATAATCTCAAAATTGTCGTTTTACTCATAATTTTATGTCTCTGGCTAAACGCAAAATTAAAGGCCATCAAAATCAACCGATTAGTAATGCATCGAATAAAAGGAAAACCTGCAAATTAAGTAAAAATTGCTTATGCTTAATTGATAGATTCAAGGATAGAAATGGTGCTGACCAGCCTATAAAAAGGGGCGGATCAACTAGTCTTTCATAGATAAGATGAGTTCACCCTATTATTTTAAGGTAATGAAGGACTGGTAGTTGGATTTTCCCAGAATGAAATGAGTAGACCATACGTTGCCATTAAATTTGCATAACCTTGCTTGCCAAAGGTATTATCATCTAGGCACAAGTGGACTGAAATTTTGACCTCACCTAGGTCTTATCAATAGCTCTAGTGGTTAATGTGTCGAGATAATACGCCGCACTCTCATGGTTCGAGTTCCGCATGGGGTATTGATAAGGCCTAGACGAGGTCAAAGCTGCAGTTCACTTGAGTCGGGATAAGAATACCTTTTGGATAATCAAGACTATTTGAAATTCAATGAAAACATAAGTCTATTGAAAGGATTGTAGGAAAATGTAACTACTAGTATTTCATCACCTTGAACGAAATATATATGATTTAATAGTGGTCTCGAAAACCTAATATAAAAAGGGAAAATAGTTTTTCTTTTATTGTCTTGGTTCTAGTAACGTTCACTCTTTTCTACTTTTTATCCACTCTTTCTGTTTCCATGACTTGTGACCGTCTTTGTGCAATTAAGCTGATGGTAAAATATGTTATACTTGCAAATACATAAAGGGCTGATGGTGGTCATCAAACATTGATGGCAGAGAACAGACGTTACTTTTTGTTCTAATTACTTTGAGGCATCACTTCTGGTTTCGTACATATACGGACACATTATGGCACATACGCACATGCCTACATCTATACTCACATGCTTCTAGCTTGACATACGGCTTTTAATAATTATATCACTTTATATCTCATCAAATAACTTAGATTTAGGGCCTATATATACAGCATTTATGGATGAGTCCGTGAGTTTTCTTGACTCGTTAACTTGAATATGGTTGTAAGAATGATACACTGCTCTGATGATGTCCGTCAACCGACAGACAAAAGGTTAGCAGGTTTTCAGCTAAATCGAAAGAGCTTGCCTCTGAAGCGGCATCAACAAAAATATTTTATAAAAGCCAATCTATGGTCCGTCAAGAGTAATCTGGCCTTTTCTGGAGAGAATGATCTTTCTGTTAGAAGGCCAAATATGCCCTGGATTTCAATTTTGCCAGGCAGCCCACGGGTTTCTTGGAATGGCGTGACCGGAAACTGAAGGACTGCTCTTGAGCAGGCTTTGTTGAGGAGTTGTGTGAAGACGTCCTCGGCCCATGTTCCTGCGACTCCGAGACAACTGGGATCATTTGTCTTCTGTACCGCAGTGAAAGGCATCAATCCTCAGAGTTGGAAATCTTCAGTTAGAGAAATTCTTTACAACTCTTAACCAAGAACGATGACTGGATGCAATCCTGCCAACTTATTATGGATACGAAGATTAAATGAGTTTCTATTAATCTCCTAAGAATTCAGCGTTAGGAAGACTTTTATTTAGTGTTAAAGTTTATGAAGATGATATTCGAAGGTCGATCTCACCAGAAGACGACGTTCAAATCACGTTTTACAGCAGCCGTTTGGCTTTAATACGACATTCCAGTTAAAGCAGTACGCTAGACCTCCTCCCTTGTTTTGGGCCAAAGACAGGCTAACATTTCGTTTGTCATGCCACATGGCGAACATCTTCAGAGCAAAGACTCATTCTTGCAAAAGCCTCAAGTTAACATTAAGTCAATAATATTGATCGGCATTATCATACCTCTCAGATACATTCGTAACTAAAAACGAAAATGTATAGGCAGAATAGAAAAGAAGGCAGGTACTGAATAATTTGGATATTTATCTTTCATGTTAGCTTTGCTACTTTTACTCGAGTATGGCATGACAAACAAAATCTCAGTCTCGCTTTGGCCGAAACGAGGGAAGATGTCCCGTGGACTGCGTTAAACTGAACGTCATATTAAAGCCAAACGGCTGCAGTACGAGATTCTATCGTTGGTGAGATCGGCTTTTGGATTTCTTCGTACACTTTTGTACGAAATGAAAGTCTCTTCAATAATTTATTATCAACTAAATTGGCCTGGTCGGTGAGGAAATTGAGAGAAAGTGGCCAACCAAATCATGAGAAGCTTCAGTAAGTGGGTAAATTAAGATAATGAGGAGGTCTGAGTGTATCTGACCAGCTTTCTTGTATTCGGGCTTGGCGCCTGTCTGCGCTTTTTAACAAATTGTCTTCTCTTTTGGCGATGCGCCAAGACGGGATAGATGAATGCCCATAACAGGTGGACCCGGATGACGATTACAGGAGAGTATGTCGATCATGATATGGTTCATATCCACAATTAAAAGTACTTAAAAGAAGCTCTCCTTTTATTTCTGATGAACCCAATTAATGCATCAGTCCCCACTGTTTGCTTTTGTTAAATGAAATGAAGGGTACAAATCCGCTGGTCCAAGCTGTTCTTAAGTGCGTGAAATTGGCAAACCCTCTGGGGCTCCCTGTTCGAGCCTTTCTACTTCTCGTGGATCCCAGGAGTTGAAGCCATGTGCGCCCAGGATCTAATCTTGGTTGATAATTGCATTCATGCTATTTCCTTTAAGTTGATGAAGGGCTGGTAGATGAATTTTCTCACAATCTGATGAGTAAGCCTCATATTTCAACTGCAGTTCACATGACCTTACTTCCCAAAAGGTATTGGTGAAGTGAACTGCTAGTTCGGCCTCGCCCTTGTTATTTCCACATTTACCTGATGATGAGACAAGTTCAGACGAGGTCATGATCGCAGTCCAGCTCAGTCTAGTTCAGTCGAGTCGGGATAAGAATTCCTTTTGGGAAGTAAGGCTATGTAAAATGCAATAGAAAGGCGAGGCCTGCTCATCAGATTGTGAGAAAATTCTGCGATCAGTTCTTCATCCGCTTAAAGGGAATAGATGGAACACAGCTTTTTGGTCACATAATGCCTCAGAGGAGGTTTTGAATGTGCCGCAAAATTGGCCTTCTGTGAGTCAGACACTTCGCCGGTGCTTGCTGTGGGAAGCAACAGTAAGTGTATCCTTCAAAGTAGGGGCTCGACATTGGCCTGTTCGATCTCCCAAGCACCCCACGAGGCCGTGCCGAAATGAAAGAGGGCGGGGTCAGGCGAGTGGCCAAATAAGGACAGGCATTGAGGTCCAAGCTGGGGCCGGAAAGCAAAGAAACAAGAGAAAAGCATCATCAACAAGTGTGTCACATCAAGCGCAAACCGGTCATAGCTTACTCCACGCGAGCAGGCGGTGTGTCGACTCATTGTGAACAAAGTCCGTGTAGGTGTCGTCCGTCAATCGAGTCACGTGAGCCGAACTCGTCTCGACCACGGGGACCAGGGCCTCATCGTTCTCGACCATCCTGTTAAGGAAGAGGCCCATCCTCTGCCGCAACTTGATCTTCTCATCGCCACCAACGTTGCCATCGCCTCTGCAGCCGATCCATTGCTGCAGCCAAAGGAAGAAAACCAGGTACACGACGGGCCAGACACTTCTGAGGGCCGACATCATTTCACTGGATTGCCTGATGCACAGCTTGTGCTACCTGAGGGTAACTTTGGCGAAACAATTTCACAAAAAACTTAGAGTATCAAGCAAGAGCGTACCTTGATCTTATGCCAACGGTGATCTCTGCCACTTGTACGCGTCTGCCCATTGGGCACCGAATTTCCCTGACGGTCTTTTCATCCGTCGGCCCAGCTCCCTGACTGCCAGGCCCCCAAAGTTGTGCTGGTTTCCTCGAAGCGGACATCACTCACTGACATCGTCCCCCCCTTTTATCATCGCGATCCCTTTTACTCCGGTTAAGGATAGATCCATAAACCAGACGTCTCCTTTTTGATAATCTTGCTGTAGACCTA